TGTAATGATAATATACAAGTAAAAGAAAGGGTTCTTACACAGAACACACAAGAGTGATAAGGAAGTTTTCTGATTGTAACATTGGTTCTTAGCTATTAAGAAAAAGACAAGGCCAGGCATAGTAGACTCATGCCTATAACCCCAGCACTTTGGGAGGCCAAGGTGGGCAGGCTGCTTGAGCCAAGAAGTTAGAGACCAGCCTGGGCAACATGGTGAGACTCTGTCTCTACAAAAAATACAAAAATTGGCCAGGTGTGGGGGTGTGTGCCTATAGGCCCAGCTACTCAGGAGGCTGAGACAAGAGGATTGAGCCTGGGAAGTTGAGGCTGCAGTGAGTTATGATCACACCACTGTACTGCAGTCTGGGTTACAGAGTGAGACCGTGTCTTAAATAAATAAAAAGACAAAGACAAAACAACAGAAACAATATAACAACAATGAAGATGCTCAAACCCCAAAGATACAGATTTAGTTTGCTTTGGTAAGGCCCTAATTTTGAAAACATTTCCAAGATGTTTCTAATGGGTAGACAGCTGAGAACCACTGGGTTGAAATATCATCATAGGTAATCAAAATTATGGAATTTCCCTTTTAGTAAGTCCTTAAAAAGGGCTCTATTCTTTTATCAGTACTGTTTATCAGAGAACATCAAGACTTTACTCTGTTTACCTTGCCTTGTTTCCCAAACTCCCACTTCACTCTTCAAACTGGCATAATCTGCCTTCTGCCTCTACACAGTACAAAATGTTACAAATGAATGGCTCACTGCTGAATCCAATGGCACACTTGAAGCTTCCTCCTACTCTACGGCATAAAGCACTGGGAACCTCTGATTCTCCAACTGCTCCCTTGCTGTGTCTTATCACTGGCTTCTGAGGCACCTTTCTTGAGTTCTCTCCCCATCTCAAACACTTCTCTGTCTGTTCCTTAAATCAGAAGTTCTTAACTGAAATCCATGACAGACCCTGAAAAGCTCAACAATAGGTTTCAGAGGTTAGGAACCCCCTGAGATTGTATACACACTAATCTGTTTGTGTACTTGAGAAGGCCATTGTTTTCTTCATATTATCAATGGGTTTAGTATCCCTAAAGGTTATAAACCACTGCCTTAAATCCTTTTCCTCTTCACTTTCCAGGCCTCAGTTGCTATCTATGAGCTTATGGCTGGCTATTACATCAATCTTGATCTATCAGAGATCTGAATCCATATTCCTAATCATCTATTAGGCATATCTGTTAAAATCAACCCATCCAAACAAAACTCATTAGGCCCCTCAAAAAATTTTGCTCTATCTCTTTGTAATTTTGTGAATGGAGTGAGTCACAATTAACACTCACTCACCTGAACTAGAAATTTCAGAGTTATCCTTCATCTCTCATTTTTCTCCTCTGCTCAGTTAACTTATTTAATAACTTCTTTTCTGCATCCAAAGCATCCATGTTTTATTTTAGGCCCACTCACATGTCATTATAGCTACAGGCTTCTAATGGAACTCTCTGCTTGCAGTCTCCATGATCTAATCCACCTCCCAAACAGCTACCAGGATTATCTTCCTAATTGTGCTACATCTATATCTGAAGAAACACCTTTTGGCTCTCTTAGAATAAAAAACAAAATCTCATCTGCTTTGCCTAGGAATGCAGTGGACTTCCCACCTCCCATCTTCCTTATATAACCTAATCTTCCACTTCCAACACACCTAACATTTTTATTCCTCTTCCAACAAAAGACTGTTTCCTGGTTTTATAGCTGCCTAAATTGTCCTTTCCCCACTCATTCAACTTGGAAACTTTTACGCATAATTGCATATTTAGTATGCAACTGATGTGAACCAAGCCCTGCGGGTAGACACTGGGAATACAGTTCAGACCAAAATTGTCAGGCAAGGAACCCTCATGGCAGTTGTATTTCAGTGGAAGACAAAGACAACAAGTAGGCTGACAAAATAATCAAGAGAATATGATCTATGTTATAAAGGAAATGAGATAACAAAGGAGAAACTTCAGGAGGAATGACCCAGGGAAGGCCTTTCAACTTTCTTAAGGGATAAGAAATAATTCTTAAAACAAGATCTTAAAGGATAAGAAGTAGCCAGCCATATGACACACAGACAGAAGAGCAACCCAGCAGAGGGCACAGCAAATGAACGGTACTGTTTGTGTTGTGTGTCTACTGAACTGCAGGCACCAAGCTCCTTTGAAGATAACTGTTTAATTTAAATGTGCGTCTTTAGAACTTGTTGCTGGCATTTGGTCCTAAACTCAATAAAAAGTTGATGAATTAAATGAATACCTTAAGAACACCTGAGAAAATGGTTTGTGGGGTTGGGGCAGGTAAGTGTAAAGAGTAGACATCTTTCACTAGGGAAGTAAGAATCTGAGTAGCCTCAACCCACTCAAGTTCCACGACAGTATCCTATTATTCCCTTATTTCACTTTCTGGTGTGTTATATTTAGTGTTCCTACACCTAACAAGTTACAAATGGTTTTAGGTAAAACTCCCAAATCCTGAAGGACAACTGTGTTCCAGGAGCTTTTACAGATGCAAAAATAAGTTTCTGATGTAAGAAAAGAATTATTTTAATTAAAACATATCTACTGACCTTCAGCAGTTTTTATATTACCTTTTCTCATCCTCTGAAAGTTACTGTCCTTTACTTCATCCCCAAGGGTTCTACCTCACCCATGTTCTACAGCCTACAGCTAATTCCATGATAGCTGGTCATCAGAGAAGGGCAAGTCTGTTATTTACTTCCAGGATATCAACCAAACAAGGTTTGATGATAAAGCCATTTTTCCTTTATTTAAAAAGAGAGAACAAAACTATATAACCAAGACAAATTCAGAATATGGGTTTCAGGCATTTGAAATTCTTCTAATTCGAACAGGCCAAAACCAAAACCTTAGGAAGAGTAAATCAAGAAGCACACATTCTAAATGTACAAATTAAATATCCAAGTTATTTTGTACTGCGCATTGAAATGGAAGTTTCAAGATTACTGGCCACAGACAAGGAGTAGTGTCGAAATTTCTAAAAATTAAAAAAAAAAAAAGAGAGATGGCTGGTCAGCCAAAGGCTTTCTCTGGTATACTGAGACCTAGAGATTTCCATTATTAATATAGCTTTTTAATCTGTTGAGCCGCTCAGCATCCCTTACTGAAGGCTCCCCCCATCTCCCTACAAAAGAAGCATAAAGAACAGAGTACCTTTAAGATTAGCACACTTATTTCTGTTGAGGAAGGTCTAATGAATTAGTCATGGTGCCTTCAATGTGGTTGTTTGTGATTCCTGCAACCACCCTAATCTGTAACTAGCAAAGATCCTGGAATGTGGTCAACCGACAAGCAATTAAGGGAAGCTCATTACAATTTTCCTAGGTTGTACATGCACACAAGTCACTGGAAATGCCCAAGGAACACACTGTAGCCATACATATGTAAGAGAAAAAAATGCTTGTGGCTCACCAAAAGTCTCTGACAAATTAAAAAGGATGGAGTGGTTCTTGTTCCACAAAAGCTTCAAGTTCATTAACTAAGTTTCAAACAGTAATGCGCTCTATAAATGTTGACCATAGTCATAAATCAAATTCCCATCCTCATATTTGCACTTTTGGGTTACACACTGACTTTATTATGTTCATATCTGAAAGACAGCAACATCTGTCCCTGAAAAAGAGTGTGGTAGAAACAACACTAGGGGGCTAGGTGTGGTGGCTCATGCCTGTAATCTCAGCACTTGAGGCAGAGGGTCAGAAGTCAAGAAGTCAGAAGTTCAACATCAGGCTGGTCAATGTGATAAAACCTTGTCTTTACTAAAAATACAAAAAAAAAAAAAAATAAAAAAAATAAAAATAGGCGTGGCGGCAGGCGCCTGTAATCCCAGCTTCTCAGGAGGCTGAGGCAGGAGAATTGCTTGAACCTGGAAAATGGAGGCTGCAGTGAGCCAAGATCCCACCACTGCACTCCAGCCTGGGCGACGGAGCGAGACCCTGTCTCCAAAAACCAATCAACCAACCAAACAAACAAGAACAAGAACACTAGGGAAACATCAACAATATGTTAGAACTTTTTTTCAAAACAGGCAAATTTTATTGTGGACAATAGTACTGATGCTTTGATGACTTGTTTTCTTAAAAATTTCCTAACACAGGCCATCCATGATGGCTCATTCCCATAATCTCAGCACTTTGGGAAGCTGAGATGGGCAGATCACTTGAGGCCAGGAGTTGGAGACCAGCGTGGCCAACATAGGGAAACCCACCTCTACTAAAAATATAAAAATTAGCCAAGCGTGGTGGTGCAGGCCTGTAATCCCAGCTACTTGGCTGATTGAGGCACAAGAATCACTTGAACCTGGGAGGCAAAAGTTGCAATGAGGCAAGATGGCACCACTGCACTCCGGTCTGGGCCACAGAGCAACACTCTGTCTCAAAAAAAAAAAAAAAAAAAAAAAAAAATTCCCCGCAGAGTCCTCAGACTATCTAAAACTAAAGGAAATATATATCTCTATCTATTTGGTGCAACTGTCATCATTTCCTCTCTTAAACAGGAAAACAAAAGTCACACCTCTACACACACACATATTTGCCAACCTCCTTAGTGTGTGGAATCTTATAAAAACCAGCTAAAACAAATAAACAAAACCAGCACAACTAGGAAGAAGGAATTATAACATTTTGCCCTGAATATTTAAAGCAAAATATGCTTTTAATAGTATATTTTATATAAACCTCTATAGCACATATAGTATAAAAATGGATTTCAACTAAAAACCAAGACCTGGAGATTAGCCAAAATAGGAAAGAACAGTAGTTTGCAGTTCACTTGTTTAGGCAGAAACAGTTATTTTTAGTCAGCAGTTTCCAATATCCACACAACTCAACTAAAACATTTGGACTTAGCTTTTTAAAGTTAGCTATTTCAACAGCAGCCTAAACAAAACTATAATTGTCAAATTACTTTCCTGATTAGGTAGCTTCAGTATTTGTTTTTAGTCTTACCATAAACAAATAATTCTGCAATCCTACGAAGTCATTCTTGAGCCACTTGAATTACTGGAGCAGAGCAGCAATTTTAGCTACTTCTAAAATTACAAAAAAAGCAACTATTAGAACATTTATACTGGCACACAAAACTCACAATAAATGGCTTTACACTGATACTAACAAGTTTCAAGTTTACCATCAACTAAGATTATACAAGCAAAAAATAGTGCCTTCTAAAGAAAGCTTAATTCTGTTAAATGAAACCATTGGGGTCTATTCCTTTTATTCAGAAGTATCATACAGCTAAACAAGTCAAGTCCACAGGGAAACAGCATTTCAATAGCTGCAACGCGGTGCCAGCCCAGGCTTTGTTGGCCTTCCTTTTCCAAGAAACAGAGATGTCTCTCTTTACTTAGTCCATCTGCCATCAGTGATAAGCAGATGCCTGTGTGACAATTCAAAACTTAAAAAAAGTGCTTCCCCCTTCTAAAACCTAACAGCAGAGATGAGTCCAACAGTCAGTGACCAGAAAGAAAGAATTTCAACGCTCTAGTAGAAAGCCTCTCAACAAAAGAAACAAAGCATCCAAGGGTCTAACAGTTCACCTTTAATATACTATCCAGTGCTACTGCTACTAACACCTGCTAATACTTTTTTCAGCTTTTAAATAAAGTTCTAAGTGCTTTATACTTAATTCTCACAAACCCTGTAAGGTAGTAGTAATATTAACCCCCTAGTACAGATGAGAAAACTGGGGCTCAGGGCAGGGAGAAGGCTATTTAATACTTAAGGCCATTCCATTAATTAAAAGCACAGCCATGATGCTGAACACAAGCAGCCTGTAGCTAGAGTCCACACTCTTTTAAGTGTTGTACCAACCGTAATATCAAGAAAACGTAACTGATTCTGATCAAAACTCTTCGTCTCACAACGGAAATACTTGTAATTTATCAGGAGTGGGAAAGTTAACACCTGATTCTTTGGAACCACTTTATTAATGGAAATACATTTTTTTTCTTTTTTTAAGTAAAACTTAAGTCCTCACCTAGTGAGTTAAAAAACAAAAACATACCATGGGCCAATGTCTACAGACAGATGTCTATCTTGTGCTAAGCACAATTCAATGCTAAAGTCATTCACATATGTCCTAAAAAAACTCTGTCCTTAACACACCATCTAGTTTTCGGTATTTTTAATTAATGGATGGTGAAAGTAACCAACAGCCAAACTTCTGTGCTGTATTTTTTGGTGAAATTTTAAACAGTTTCATTATTGCCTCCCAAATGAAAGCACATCTGAACTGCCAGAAATCCTTAAGTTTTTTGAACATTTAATGGGATCCATAGCAGCATGCTTCCACCCACAAAACCAGCCTTTTAAACCAAATTCTCAACTTTATCACCCTTTAGTCACAGATGAGTAGAATTTCTGTCATGACCTGATTCCTTTCCACTAAGGACATACTTCTGGAATTCTGCTTTTTCACAACTATACAAACACACAAACTCCATCTGCCTTCTAAAGAAAAGACTGGTTAATAATACAAATATCAAATCTGTCTATGTAGCCTGGAAAAACCTCAGATATGTATAGTTTCTCATCCTTTTGAAATTTCCCAAAGTGGTAGTCATGCGACAAGAGCAAATACCGTATCTATGCAAGTGAAGGTAGTCCATCATTATCCTTATTGTTTGAATTGGTCAGAAGAAAGCCCTACTCATGAGTCACTGCTTATAACTTGCAGGCCCACAGCCGGAATACAAAGTTGAAATTTTAGGCATCAAGAATCAGATTTCAAAAAGGTTCTCTTCATTCACTAGCTAAGCCCTTGAAGTGAAATATAATAAACATGTATCTTCTTCTATTAAAAAGGTAATCTTCAAAATACACACACAGGGCAGGAACATCCAATATGATAGCAACTCATACTCCTAATCCTCAAGAAACTTCTAATTTAGTAGGGGTGATGAAGTCCATTCACCAATAATGACAATACCAGGCAGTATGTAATAAAGAAGTTAAAATTCAAATTGTGTCTGTCATGTTTTGTTACCCACATATGTCATTTCTCTGCATCTACAAGTGCACAAAAAGCACCTGAAGGGAAACACCTCTTTCATCCAGCTTTACACACCTGACACGGCACCAGGCATACAGAAGGTGCAACAAAATGGACGTAAATTTCAGGGAATCTTTATTAGTTCAAATGTCACAATACAGTTAACATTTGAAAACAGAGATTTTTGACTCAGAGGCAATTAGGAAACATTCTACTATAAATTCTTCTAAAATCAACTTAAACGTTTGTATCTTATAGCAATAATTTCACCACATGGTCTATGACGAAACAGAAGGAAATCAATACCTAGGTTATTATTGGTCTCCATCTAAAAACTGTCCCTATGTTCACTCAACTAGATTATACAATATTTGTTGATTTTAAAATAATGTGCCACGTCCATGAGAAGAAATAATTTTCTCCAAAAACATTCAGCTATATGTTTCTTAAGTATTTGTTCTACTTTATAGCAATTCTGCATTCTGTAAGTGTTCATCCACAAAAATGTTGACGTGACAATTTTCTGTTAAGAATAACTTGGGGAAATCACTATAAGTAGTTCCCTCAAATTTGGCAGAATGTAATTTCAGTCAAAATTGATTTTAAGAATAATTTTTTAATAAGAATCATGAAAATCTGAGGTGCGATTTAAAACACACAACAGGCTCTACAATACTCTTCAAAAAAAGTGACTGTCTGCAATTGCAGTATTATCATTTGGACTCCTAACGTCTTTCATTCTGCTAAGTCAAAAATTTTAATGCACTTTATTTTAGTATAAGCTCTTGATTCTCAGCACAAGGTTCTTAACCTATTGTATTCACAACAAGCAATTATTCAGAATAAATACAGAACATCTAACATAACCACTCCAATTTTCCAAATAAAGAGGAGGTGTAAGGAAAATGCAATGGACAAAAATCACATTAATGAAACGCATATGCAGGCCAAGGACACATGTTGAAAATGCCACAAGAAACAGACATGATACAGCATTAAAAAATCATTTTTGATTGGGACATGATTAAGAAAAGAGAGGAATTAAACCACCACCAAAGTTGGGAGTATGGGGGAAGAGGAGAGCAGGGAAAGCAGACACTGGGTTGTTAACAAAGATGGAAGCTACGGCTTGACCCTCACTCAAACAATGAAGAGACAGAGACAGAGACAACAGCAAATAAGGTCTAGGTCTAGTGAGTCTGATAGCAGCCCTGAGGTTGAGGGACACTTCGTCAAGTCTCATATGCACAAAGATAATCCCAGGATTCAACATCCACAGCCTCAACTGTGGCTATCCCAGCAAATCCTTCACAGAACTGCTACAAAGATTAAGCAACAGTCTTTGATTCATTAAAGATGTTAATACTGTCTTTTTCTTCTTAGGGTCTTAAAATGCAACTTAGGTTTCCCAATGTTCACACTTTCCATTCTGTCCACTTCTTTGCACACGAATGAAATTCCTTTAACAGACACTGGACCTCAATTCCATATTAAAAGCTTAAGATGCTAAAACTATATTCTCGCTGGCCCTCATTCAGGAATAAGCCAGCCAATCAAGGGCACACCGCAGTAGGTCACTACAGTTTCCGATACTGATTTTGAGGGCAGAGGGTATGTAAAGAGGAGCCTGGGGAAAGGATGACACCTTTTTTTGCTTAAGAGAAGCCAGGTTTAACAAAAGGGGTGGGGGACAAACAGGAGCTGTGGTTGAACTAATTGCCCCTATGATTTGTCAATTTTATTTTCATCTTTAATCTTCAACTTTAGGTAAAGAACTTTGTTTGTATATGTGGCCTTTTCATTGTGCTACAGGAAAACCTCAATTACTCACCTAAAATGATTTTGGAAAGCATAAAACCATTAAGCAGCTTGTGATGTAAGGCTAAAAAGATAGCATAAACTGGGACTTCACTGGGCATACCAAACTGAATAATTCTTTCAACCAGATAGTGCTAAAAGTCACTTCTCAATTGGAATGAACTGCCATTTTCTCAAAAAGACTACGAAATTATGCCGGGATGGCTGAACCTTCTTATGCATCTCTTTTTAAATTTCCCCGTAGTCCACATTGCTCAAACATACACACACACCCTACTCCCTTTTCTTGAGTCACAGTTTTAAGGCACTGTTCTGAACCCTAAATACAGAAGCTCATGCTACTTACTGTAAGGGTCGCTTTGGAACTGCAGGTGACAGATGCAGAGAGCTCACAGATGTGGACTGACTGCAGTTTGAGTCTTATTGCAATAAGCACATTGACAGAGCCTGCAGATGCACATCTCGGCAGTAGAAGAGTTTTTTTTTTTTAAGTCCTTATACCCTATTAGATTTACTTTTAGGGCTTTTACGGGCTATTTTTAACACTTATTCCGGCTCTCATCCCTGCTTTAGCCCTACCCACAATTCATTTTCTCTTCTTCAGTTCTAGACCCTTCTCTATCAATCCTAAATTTGGTCAAAAATAATAATTATAAGATAAAGCGGGGATGCCGGCATCACCAGAACCAGAAACCGATGAAGCCGCTTTTTGGGAGCTACTAGAGAGGCCGCCGTAAGTTTTCTGAGAAGCAACGGACCCCTAGCATCATTGCACGGTCCCTCCTCCCCTAGGAGATGGCTCCAGAGACAGATGAGGAATCTTTCTTCCCTGTCTTTCCTAGTGGCGGCTTAAAAGAAAAATAACTCCTCTTTTCTTATCCTACACCAAGCTCGATAACGCTTCCAGGTACGGACGCCCCATCCCCAACCCGTTATCCCTAACGAGATCCCCAAATATCGCCCAGTCCTCTTCAGAACTGAGCCCTCCCTCGGCCACCAGATCGGTTTCCCCCACCTCAGAGGCTGCCCTCCAGTTGCCCGCCCCCGCACACCCCACCCCAAATCTGACCCGGGCTCCGCACATGCCCACCCTGCGCCCAGATGCCCTGCACCCGACGTTCGGGCCGCTCAGCCTCCCGCGCTCCCCGAGTCCAGGGTCGCCTAGGGGGTTACCGTGGGAAGAGGGAGCGGCGGCAGAGGACGCGGCGGCAGCGCTGCTGCCGGTTGCGTCGGATGCGAAGGAGAAGCTGGAGGACAAGGATGAGGATGAGACGGGCGCGCTCCCCAGTCTCCATGGAACTCCCGCCCCGGCCCGTTGCTAGGAGCCCCCGAGGCTCGGACTCCGTCTTCCCGGCTTTGTTGTTCCGGGTGCGAGGCGGCCGCTGCTTTCCCGCGACAATAAATAGACCAGACGCGGAGGAGCATAGAGACAGCGCGCGGAGGCTAGAGCGTCGCCGGACAAGGCGCTCCTGGGTGCCTCGCTAGCCACTCATTTCCGGCTCTCACTGCTCCCGTCACTTTCCCTACCCCCTCCCCCACGCTTCCTTCCTCTTTCCTGGTCCTCAAGTCAGGTCCGTCCTGCTCACCCGCTGGGCGCGGCGGGGGCAGGGGAGGTGGGTTGGGGGGAGGTGAGTGGTGGAGTGGAGGCGGTGCTAGTGGGCATCGGGCTAGACTTTTTTAAGAACCGCTTGAAAGGGTTCTGAAAACACCGTGTATCCCTTGTATATTTTTAGTTGATATCTAAACGTGTAGTAATTTCTGGCATACGGCCGAATATTTAGGTGGACTTTTTTTTTTGGTCAAAACCTTAGAACTTTCTCGTTAGCCCATTAAATTTATACAAAAGGTCCTCTCCAACCCCCCATTATATAATTGGTAAAGCTAGCTCTTACCGACCAGACGAGATTTATTTTCTGCCTGAAAAAAGTCCTTCGCTTTTTCAGTCAAAATGAACGCGTTAATTTATGATGTCGCGATAACTTCCCCTAGTGAGATTCCTCACTGGGGAAATTGGAATCCTGGTCTTAGAGCGACAGGGGATGACAGATGACGGATAGAGGGAAGGAAGGGGGAGAGATGGAGACACAAGCTGTGGAGAGACGGAGGGATAACGCAGGAGTGTAGGCCACCTCTGTCACCTGCCCCTTCCACATTCCTTACTCGAAGTGGGTTTGCGGTCGGGACAGTCCCTCGGGAACGGAGAGGCAGATGCAGGAAGAATGGGATGTGGGAGAAGGCGGCTACTGGCGAGGACTCAGCACGGAGTAGGAGGGCGTCTGGGGACAGAGACCCCTCCGCAGCTCTGCGCCCAGGTAGCCCTGCAGGGGCCTGGAGGACCTCGGGGGTGCACAGTCACCCGTTTGAACCGCCGCGATGGGGCCCGAGTGCGTTCTCGGGACCCCTCGGGGATGGCCTGAGAGGTGCTGCCCTCGGGAGCCAGAATTGCCTAACGGCCCTGGGAGCGCCAAGCTACACCACGCGGAAGCTCCCGGCTCCTGGCCCCACGCTTCCCACTCCCAGGCCGGCTTCAGCCTCTCCTCCAGGGCTTGGCTGCAGTCAGAAGCCTCTGGCGCTAGTTGAGGTCAATGGCAGCCCTGATTTAATTATTAAAAGACCACGTCGAGCCGGGTTCATGGGTACCTGGTCTCTGATTGGTGGGAATCAGATGAAAAATGAAAATGTCACTGCCTTTTTAAAAGAGAAGACGTGGGCTGAATTCTTGGGGTTTTGGCAGTAGGCAATCATTTGGGTCTTTTATTTACGAGATATCCAAGGATGCTTTTTGATTTTTTGCTTTCCCCTCTGAGTGTTCAGAAACATATCAGCATTTGAAAGCTCTGTAGAATGATGGAGTTTTTGTTTCTGTACTAATTTATTTTTCAAGGGATAGTAATTATATGTTGGGTCAGGTTTAACGAAGAAAATGAACAAGAAGCTGGGTTAGAAAGTAATGTCTGTGTGGTGGTGGGGAGAGGACTTTTAGGAGGAAACATCTCAGCCTATTTCCAAAATGGGGGAGTGGGAAGGATGTAAGTCGAGTGTTCCAGGCAGAGGGAACAAGATATGCCGAGTGCTTGCTGTGCTGGGGTATTAGTGTGGCTGGCGCATCAGGAAACAGAGCAAAGGAAGAATGACAGCCGTTGAAACTGGAGGGTAATTAAGGTCTTGAACTCTCAGTGCCTTGCAGACCGTAGAAGGAGTTTGGACTTTCTTCCAAGTGGTAGGGAAATTGGAGTTTTAAGCTGGAAAGTAACATGATTTACCAAGGAAATGGCAGGGGAAACTTCTATTCCAGTGGCTACTGCCACTGCTGAAAAGTCAACATTACAGTAATGGCTACCAGTTCTAAGGTCCTTATGAGGTATTCTCCTTCAAGGGGACCAGCCAAATACATAGAAGCAGGAATGTCAATTTCTTTAGACTCCCTTTTGTCATGGATCAGCCAATAGTTTGCTTCCCTACCATAGTTCCTCATTCTGGAATTGGATTTGGCTTTGCTGCAAGCACTATTCTCTATTAATTATAGACCTATTATACTGTTCTGGTGATGGTTAACACTAAAAGCCCAGATTTCAACCACTATGCAATATATCCATGCATCAAAACTGCACTTGTACTTCTAAATTTATACAAAATAATAATAATAGGTCTATCACATTCTCCCATAGACCCATTCATCTAACTAAAGGCCATAGGCTTTTATTTTGGGAGAACTACTTTTCCTCTCTGCCTATCCCTAGTCTAATGAGAGACCAAATGGGAGCTGCAGTAGCCACGGTGATTGACAGAGGTAGTTTTTGGCCTAAGCTAGCCAGCTATACAGTACCTGTGCTGTAATTGATTTATTACCTCTCACTTTCAAATTCACTTTTCATGCTTTCTCTGTATAGATGGATCTGACCCCTTAAAATAGTCTTCTACTACTTCTTTCAGCATTCTCTATGGGCAGAACTTACCATTGTGTGTGTACCTACCACAGTGGTAAGTTCTGCCCATAGAGAATGCTAGAGAGGCATTGAAATAGAAAAGCGTTTACTTTCTGGTTCCGGTGTGTTTCCCTGACAGGCTCCTGCAGCATGGAAGGCCTCTCTAGAATCCGTCTTCTGCAGCACAGGTGGCTATGCTAGCCCTACTCAGAGGCCAGAAGGGCAGTGGTGAAGGAAACTCCTCCAGGTGGGCATCATTCAAACAGTACAGTTGTTTACCCAGCATGTTTGGAGAGAGAGATGACCAGAATGGGCAGTTGCTATTGACTTGTGTAGATTGTTAGTGACTTGGAAAGAATGAGATTGAAAAATAGGCGACAAGGAAGTGTGAGAAAGAGATATATGGAAGGACTTATCTGAATGTATACAAACTATGAAGTGTATCGGCTACATTAAATATATCCATTGCTAAGGAGATTCCTAATAATCAGCTGGACAAAATGGCACACTCTGTGGATATCAATCAGCATCACTGCCAGCAAGCCAGTGCTTGCTTAGTGGTCTTATAAGCAAAGTGGCCATAGTGGCAGGGATAGACACTATGCATGTGCTCAACAACCTGGAATTCCCCTTTCCAAAGTTTACCCTGCCAGCACTACTGCCAACTAGTTAATATTTCAAGAGGAGAGAACAACACTGAGTACCTGATAATGGCACCATTCCCAGGGGTAATGAACCAGCCATCTGGTGGCAGGTTGATTACATTGGACTTGTTCCATCATGGAGCAAAGATTCATCTTAATTGGAATAATTACCTATTTTGGAAATGGATTTGCCTTTACTGCTTATAATGCTTCTGCCAGCACCACTGTCTGTGAACTCACAAAATGCCCTGTCTACCATCAGTGCATTCTACTCAACATTGCATTTGATCAGGGAACTCATTTCATAGCAAAGGAGGTGCAGCAATGGACCATGCCAATGGTATTAACGAGGGTTACCACATACACCATCGCTTGGAAGCAGCTGGCATAACTAAATGGTGAAATGGCCTACTGAAGACTCAATTATGATCTCAGCTGGAAGACAATACCCTGGAAAATGGGATTCTGTCTTATATGTTTTGAGTGAGAGACCATTATATTTTGCTGTTTTTCCCATAGCCAAGATACATTTAAATCTAGTTATGGCAGTGAGAGTAGCTCTGCTTATAATACCTTCTACTCTCAGAATTTTTCCTTCCTTGCTTGGAAACTCCATCTTCTGCTGGTTTAGAGACCTCAGCCTCCAAGGAGAGGTACTTCCATCAGGAGTTGCAACAATGGTTTTGCCATGTTACACGATGAGATTACCACTTGGCCATTTCCTTACACCACTGAGGCAAAAGGCAAAAACAGGAGGTAATCCACTGGCTGGAGTGATGGATCCTGATGACTGAGAGGATATTGGTTTGTTTCTAGACAATAGGGGAAAGTATGCTCTAGAATCTAGGGAATCCTCTAAGGATCCTCTTAGTACTTCAATGTTAAGGTAAATGAAAAACAACAGCAATTGAAAATAAAAGATAAGAGTGTTTGAGGACTTAGACCTTTTGGAAATGAAGGTTTGGATCACTCCACCAAGAATCCTGACCAGCTGAGTTTCTGGCTGAGGGCAGAGGAAATACAGAATGGGTAGAGGTGGGGGGAAAGCTATAGATATCAATTATAGCTTGCAAACAATTATAGAAATGAGGACAGCAGTAACTTTGCATATTTTTATTGGCTTGTCATATGTGTGTGTTGATTTGTATTTACTCACCATTTTCTTTTCACTCCTTCCCCATTTGAATGTTTTATTCAAACTCTTGGCACTTGTGTTGTTTTCCTAGGACTGCTACCATAGGGCTACCACAAACTTGGTAGCTTAAAACAGAAATATATTTTCTTGCAGTTCTAGAGGCTAGACATCTGAAAACAAGATGTTAGCAGGGTTAGTTTCTTTGGGAAGCTCCGAGGGCCTTTTTCCTAGTTCCTGGTGGCTGCCTGGCAACCTTTGGTATCCTTCTTGGCATTATCATGCATTACTCTGATCTCTGCCTCCATTTTCACGTGAATGTCTCTGTGTTTCATAGTCCTCTCTTCTTCATTTAATAAAGACCCCAGTCTTCAGATTCAGAACCCACCCTAAATCCAGGATGATCTTTTTTTTTTTTTTTTTTTTGAGACGGAGTTTCACTCGTTACCCAGGCTGGAGTGCAATGGCGCGATCTCGGCTCACCGCAACCTCCGCCTCCTGGGTTCAGGCAATTCTCCTGCCTCAACCTCCTGAGTAGCTGAGATTACAGGCACACGCCACCATGCCCAGCTAATGTTTTGTATTTTTAGTGGAGACGGGGTTTCACCATGTTGACCAGGATGGTCTCGATCTCTTGACCTCGTGATCCACCCGCCTCAGCCTCCCAAAGTGCTGGGATTACAGGCTTGAGCCACCGCGCCTGGCCCAGGACGATCTTAAGAGTTGTTTTTTTTTT